GATCAATTTCACCATTAAATCGATTATGTTGATCAATCAGTTATATTTATTTCCACTTTTGTATGGTTATGATTTCACATTAAATATAGGAAATCATGACCATACAAAGGTGAAAATAAATATAAAGTATTAAATATGGAGAATCATAACCATACAAAGATGAAAATAAATATAACCGTTGGATCAACATAATCGATCTAACGGTGAGATTAATTGGTAGTAACACTAATTGTTGTTATAATATCATATTCCTATATATATATATATATATATATATATATATACATATATACAAAATTCAGTCACTAGACTGTCCAGTGAGTGAATTTTGACTATATTCTCCCGCGAGAATATAGTGCAAAAACATTCCAATGGTGTTCTGCAGGTGTTCTCACGGGAGAACATAGGCAAAAAAATTTGTGCACTATATTCTCGCGGGAGAATATAGTGCACTGGACCTAATTTACATCAAGTCACTTGATACTCACTAAACCCATATATATATATATATATGGGCTTATCATTTCTCAAGCTGCCGGAGATAAAGTTATCTCCGGCTACTAAATCATAACCGTACAAAGATGGATCAATGGTGATAAAGGAAGAGAGAGAAAAGTGGAATAATAACCATTCAAAGGTGAATCAATACATATAAGGAAATAAATAATCAAAACGACGTAGTTTTGGGGTGACCGGAGATAAATTTATCTCAAGCAGCTTGAGAAATGTTTTTTCCTATATATATATATATATAGGGTTTAGTTAGAGGTGTCAAAACGGGTTGACACGACACGAATTCGACACGACACGATTTTTTATTCGTGTCAAAATATTAAACACTGACACGACACGAAATTTTTGCGGGTTGACACGACACGAATAACACGTAAAATAGGGGTCAAAACGGTAATTGACAAAAAAAATTTAAAAAATGGATTGAAATTAAAAAAAAATTAAAAAAATAATAATAAAATATTATTAAAAAAATAATTTTAAAAAATACGGGTCGACACGAACACGAATACATCAACACGAATTTTTTACGTGTCATTTTTTCGAACACGACACGAATTTTTTTGCGGGTTAACCCGAACACGAATTTTCATGTCGTGTCGCGGGTCGACCCGCGTGTCAAAACCTATATTGACACCCCTAGGTTTAGTGAGTGTACAGTGACTGGATACAAAATTGGGTCCAGTGCATTAAGTTCTTTCGCGAGAACACAGTTATAGTAAATATTATAACTATGTTCTCCCGGAGAATACCATTATAATATTTTATGCACTATGTTCTCGCGGAGAACTTAATGCACTGGATGGTCCAGTGACTTAATTTTCATTTTTTTCCATATATATATATATATATATATATATATATATATATAGGGATTTACATTTATGTACGTGCAGCAATCAAATACTTGCCATATATATACTTGAAAGCATTAAATGCAGAGAATCATAACCATACAAAGGATGAAAGCATTAAATGTGGGGAATCATAACCATACATCTGTCGTTGTTGTACGTAAAGCGGCTGCAGAAATGATTTTACCATATATATATATATATATATGGGTAAATATTTCTACAGCTACTTTAGATAAAGTTATCTACAGCTACCCAAAAACTACGTCGTTTTGATTAATGAAGGGTGTTTCTGTAATTTTAGGTGAATTAATGAAGGTTGTTTCTGTAATTTTTTCTGTAATTTTAGGTGAATTAATGAAGGGTTTTCTGTAAAAAAAAAAAATTATCATATTCATTTTACCTTTCATTAATTCATCTAAAATTACAGAAACAACCTTCATTAATCAAAACGACGTAGTTTTTGGGGTAGCTATAGACTATGTAGCACCGATATCGACACGTGACACGACACGATACGACACTCCGACACGTTAATTCTAAAAAATGTTAGATCTCAACACGTTAGGACACGTTTTGATATTAAATAATATTTTTGATTTATATAATGTATATTATATTTAATATTCAATAATTTAACAAAAAAATGAAACTGAACTTATAATATTCATCAATTTTGCAAAGAAACATAAGATATCTCAAATATTTATATTAAACTCAATAAAATGGTAATCGTAATCCAACGAATCTAATAGTTGGAACTAAAAACTCAACGCAACACAACTTTTGAAATTTTTTTTGAATTTCTATAATGCATATTGGAGTGTCGGAGAGTGTTGGAGTGTTGGAGAGTGTCGGGAAGTGTCAGGCACGACACGTCAAGGTTTTTGAAGTGTCGGTGCTTCATAGGCTGTAGATAGCCTTATCTAAAGTAGTTGTAGAAATATTTTTTCCATATATATATATATATATATATATATATGATTAATAGACCTATAACTAATTTATTTGGTCCTAACATAATAAGAAAATGTATCTTTTTTTCTCCAACAAAGTAATGTTCTATTATTTAAGAAACCAAAATTCATAAAAAAATAAACTCTTTAAAAAAATATCATCATGACTGATGACACGCTAGATAAAATGGTGGGGAACAGAATAAAAGTTTGGTCCTAACATAATAAGAAAATGTATCTTTTTTTCTCCAACAAAGTAATGTTCTATTATTTAAGAAACCAAAATTCATAAAAAATAAACTCTTTAAAAAAATATCATCATGACTGATGACACGCTTGATAAAATGGTGGGGAACAGAATAAAAGGTTGCTTGACATTTCCCTTCTAATTGGCCACATAAATGTTATTGATGTGGATATCATAATTGTATGTTTGAAAAGTCAAAAAAGCAAGGCATTGTGGTTAAATAACTTAAGTTAAATAGTTGCTTTCTGGAATGTGACAGGAATAGAACAAGCTCGAAAGCTGTCTTTCTACATCCGTAGTCTCCAATCTTTCTTCAATCCTGTTTTGAAGAATGAGGAATCAATCCTTTATTATTGTCAGCAACTCAGTTTCTCTATCAAATTGGCCATACAATAGACTATATAATTTTTCAGTTATTACTATTGCGGTTTGATTTCATGTGCTGCCGGATATTCCAAATTCACAATCAATCATTTTTGGTGCCATGAAATAAAAGTTCCTGTCCTTTTAGATTATACATTTATATGTAATTGGATAAAAATGAATGTTTCATCGTCCTTGTATTTACTTTTATGTCTGAGGTCCAAAGTTTACATGCACTAACAAATCTAACAACGCATCTCGCGCTCTTGGTGAATAAACTTAAAAAACTCCAGATATATTCCTTTCTAACGCAAATAATTGAGTTTTCATCTACACTTCTATATTTATAGTCTATGAAGCACCGACACTTCAAAATCTCTAACATTTCGTGTCCGACACTTTCTAAATTCCGACACTCCGACACTCCAATACTCGTTGCAAAGACTCAAAAAAAGTTCAAAGGTTACATTGCGTTGCATTTTGAGTTTCAACTATTAGATTCGTTGGATTATGATTACTATTTTATTTGAGTTTAATATAAACATTTGGGATATCTTATGTTTATTTGCAAAATTGATAGGTATTATAAGTTTAGCTTTATTTTTTGTTAAATTATTGAATATTAAATATAATATACACTACATAAATTAAAATATTATATAATATCAAAACATGTCCTAACGTGTCGAAATTTAACATTTTTTATAGTTAACGTGTCAGAGTGTCGTTTCGTGTCGTATTCCGTGTGCCGTGTCGGTGTCAGTGCAATATAGTTTATGGTCGTCGTATCTTAACTCCTCGTCATATCTTGACTCCTGTTCCAGTCAAGTATGCATAACTGCATTATTGAATGCTATTCATTACTTCACACTAAGGGTGTTAATGTCTGATCGAGTTTTGATTTTAAAAGACTAAATTTGTATTTAAATATGTGAGTCTGACTTAGCTTATTACCTTTTACGAATATAATTATTAGCCTATGACCTGACTTATTTACAAAAAATAAAAGTCTGATATTCAAACAGAATATACAATCAACAACTCTAATAATTTTACAAAAATTCATAAATTTAATGTATATCCAAAGAGCATAATATAAAACAAAATTATACAAAAATCTATTTAACTAATAAAATGAGATGAAATGGGTTGAAGAGAAAGAAAACTATTAGTAATATAAAAAAATATAAAATTGTTATGGATCCGTATAATGGGCTCATTAAGTAGCAGGCCCAACAAGGGGCAATCCAAGATATGGATTGATGCTAATAAAGGATAGATATCCATTAAGGATACTAATCCTAATACGACAGCATAGCTATCAGGCCTGGACCCTCACCAGAGGAACCAAAGGCCCATCCACACTACCTACAGGTAACCTCTATAAATACAAAGGTAAACCCTAAAGGTACGTACGCCCTCTCTCTTACTGTTATGCTGTCACTGTGCGCACACACACACCCTATTGGCCAACGCTGTTATAGTATTTTGTGCACGGTGATCTACTTGACTCAAGGGTATCTCCTTCATAGATACCTTGGAGAGGGCACTAGATCCGATATCAATATACTAGCCTATTGGGCAAGACATCTCTGTCTCAAGGAAAGAACATTGGCGCCGTCTATGGGGAATTCATCTCTGAATTTAAAGTTCTCACCAATCTGATAAGGGATGGCAATCCAGACGAGGAGCAGTAGTCAACAGCCACCCCCAAACCAGAATCAACCGTTGGATCCAGTCCTGGAGGAGGTAAACCAGCCTCAGAACCAGATCGGAGACAACGTGGATTACGATCACGTCCAGGTCGAGGACGACGTCTCAGACACCGCATCTACTCCAGCGCGTCGAGGTAGAGGGGTGGAGGCGAACGTGGCTCCAATCAGAAACAACCCTTCCCAGCATCCAGGAGATCCTGCTGCGCGTATTGCCCAATCGGCTGATCCGGATACTCGGTTGGCCAATAATGCATTCGCCGCAATCATGGAACGAATTGCAGAACTGTAGAGCCGCAATAACTTGCAACGGAAGCAGGATTTCAGGGCTATACGGGAGGAGAATAACAGGGGGATGCAAGACCTGGAGCAGCGCTTAACACGGCTGGCTGGACCAGCAACAGCCGACGTGGAAGGCCATCCTGCCAATGGCCGAGAAGGAGCTTGGAACGTAATTCAGCCAAACTGGGTTCCTCAAGCAGAAAATCATGAAAGACCCAACCCCGTGAATGATGTGAACCAGAACCACGGAAACCAGACTGCTAATGGCCAAAATGCTCAAAACCATCAGTTGCAAGCTGACGGTCAGGAGGACCGAGTTAGAACTCATCCTGCGCAGAATGCTCAAGATATCCGAGGTCGGGTAGAACTCGGCGGGTATAGGAGGAAGTACAACAGGGGCAGTACAACAATAGCCCCTTTACTGGTGAAATACTAAACGTTGTCTTCCCGGAGGATTTTGATTCGGCACGTCTGCCAAAGTATGACGGGAGACAGGATCCACAGGTGCATATAGATGCTTTCGACACGGATATGTACATTCGAGGAATTGATGAACCTCTCATATCCCGAATATTTGCTATAACCCTAACTGGGATAGCACAGGCATCGTTTTCAACCCTTCCTGCTAATTCCATCGGATCCTTCGAGGAATTCGGACATAAGTTCCTCTTGAACTTTGCAACAAGTAAGAAGCATCCGAAGTCTGAGTTTTCTCTCGAAAAGATACGACAGCAACCCGGATAAACCCTCCAGAAATACCTTAACTGGTTCAAGGACGCTGCATTGCAGGTCTCAGGGTTGCAAGAGAATGTCCACGTACACCTCATTGTGGCGGGTCTGGATGGTGCATCCAGGCTTGCCAAGTTGGTTTATAAGGACCCAGTGAGGACGCTGGAGGAATTCAGAACTCGTTCGAAGAAATATCTCGAACTAGAGCAAATGGAGATTGCAAATGCGCAATCTGATAAGGGCAAAAGGATAAGCCCAAGAAGGAGGAGCCCAGCCCCAAAGGAAAAAGAACGAATTGACAGTAAGAAGAAAGATCTTCGCCCAAGAATCCCAGAAATGAGGGATCGGGTTGGGAGATATGATAAATACACACCTCTTAATGCTTCGCGTTCTCAAATCTGGAGAGAAGTAGCCATGACGGATATGAAGAAGGTGGACAGACCCCGACCCATATTTGACAGAGGAGGTTTGGATAAGTCCAAATATTGTGCTTTCCATGATGGACCGGGACATACAACTGACCAATGCTAGGATCTCCGAGATGCTGTGGAGAAATTTGTAAGAGATGGACGGTTGCGTCAATACGTGATCAAAACCCAAGGGTCCAAAATCAACAAAAGAAAGGCGGGAAATAGAAGGAGAAGTAGAAGCTCGGTTCCTGAAAAGAAGAACAAGGATGAACGAGATCGCAAAGGTGATCCCAACTTTCACGAGTTCCCAGAAGCAAAATTTGATTGCAATGTAATCAGTGGAGCCCTTGGAGGAGGTGGAGACACCATAAGTGCAAGACAAAAGTACTTGAAGGAGGTCCTTTCAATTCGGGACCGCCCCAGATTCAAAGAGGATCCAAGCAAGCTAGATCCCCCTTTGCTTTATTTTACAAAGGAGGACATGCATGGCATGTTACCCGGGCATGTTGACGGACTTGTTATAGCTGGTACTCTGGTAAACTGTCGGGTTAAGAAAATTTTTGTTGATGTAGGGAGTAGTGCCGACATCATCCTATGGGACGCTTTCAAAAAGACGAACCTTGATGAGGAGGACCTCAAACCTTGCAAAACTACTTTGATAGCCTTTAATGGGGAACATACGCCCCCTAAAGGCTATGTAGATCTCAGGTTGACCTTGCGAACCAAAGAAGCGTTCAAATCAGAACGGGTAAGGTTTATAGTGGCCGATTTCCCATCAGAATATAATATAATTCTTGGCAGGCCAACTATACACCAGTGGGACATGTTGGTTTCCACGAAGCACCAAAAGATAAAGATGCTAAGCAGTAAAGGCAAAATAATTACTGTTTGTGGAGATCAAAAAGAGTCCAGGGGATGCTACTTCGACACTATCAAGGAAAATGAGGATGGGTATGCAGGTCCATCTCGAGTTCATGCAGGGGACAAGCAAGGAAAGAACATAATCCAGCACCATCCCAACAAGCCCGTCAATGTGGTGGAACTCGACATGAGAGAAGAAGTAGTGCCAAGGCCAAAACCCGACGGCGTGCTAGTAAACCTGGCACTCGGGCAAGACCCCGGCCAGTTTACCCAGATTGGTAAGGCCATAAACCCCCAAACTAAGCAAATATTGGCCGACTTTCTTCAAAGCAACACATATGTATTTGCATGGAAGTCGTCAGAGATCCATGGCATCGACCCCGCCTTTTGCTGTCACAAATTGGCAGCTTATCCAGGATCCACGCCAGTTTCCCAGAAGAAAAGGAAAATAGGACCAGAAAGAAAGCAAGTTCTACAAGAGCACGTCAAAGAGCTCTTGGGTGTCGGGTTTATTCGTGAGATACAGTATACAACGTGGCTTGCCAATGTGGTGATGGTGAAAAAGCCAAATGGGAAATGGAGAATCTGTACTTATTACACAGGCTTAAACAAGGCCTGCCCAAAGGATGTTTATCCTATGCCTAACATAGACCAGCTGGTAGATAACTCAGTTGGATTTCGTCTGTTGTCCTTTATGGATGCTCATTCGGGATACAACCAGATCTCAATGTACTCGGTGGATCAAGAAAAAAGGGCCTTCGTTGCTGAAAGGGCCAACTATTGCTACAATATGATGCCATTTGGACTCAAAAATTCAGGGTCAACCTATCAGCGGATGATGAATAAAGTCTTCGAAGATCAGCTGGGCAAAAACATAGAAGTATACATTGATGATATGATTGTAAAGTCATTTGATATGATGAATCATGTCCAGGATCTCGAACAAACATTTCAAAAGCTCAGGAAGTACCGCATCCGCCTCAACCCGGTAAAGTGTGCGTTTAGGGTTGCAGCAGGGAAATTTTTGGGATTCATGCCAACCAATAGAGGAATAGAAGTGAACCCTGACAAATGCAAGGCAGTACTTGATATGAAAGCACCCCAAAGAAAAAAGGAAGTCCAACAGCTAACCGGTCGATTAGCTGTGTTAACCCGGTTTCTTTCGAAGTCTCCTGAAAATGCCCTCCCGTTCTTTAAACTTTTAAAGAAGGAAGCAACTGACGGATGGAACCCGGCGTGTGAAGCCGCGTTTGAGAAAGTCAAGAAATGTTTAGCAACTCCACCAATCCTCTCGAAGCCAAACCCAGGAGATGTTCTGATCATGTATCTGGAAGTAGGGGAGGAAGCGATAAGTGTTGTACTGATCAAGGAAACTAACGAGGGCCAAGAGCCGATTTACTTTGTCAGTAGAGCTTTACAAGGCACAAAAATCAGATATCAAAAGCTAGAGAAAGTGGCTTTTGCTTTGCTGGTCACGGCCAGGAGATTGCGGCCATACTTTCAAGGTCATCAAATAGTCGTCAGGACTAATCAGCCTATCCGGCAGGTGTTGCACAAGCCGGACCTGGCAGGAAAAATGACTAACTGGGAAATTGAGCTCAGCGAATACGACATAGCTTATCAAAGCCGAAAAGCAATCAAGTCACAAGCTCTGGCCAATTTCATAATGGAATTAACGCTGGTAAATTCAGAAAACGAGGAATCTGGCAGTGCATGGAAGGTCTACGTAGATGGATCCTCCAACAATAAAGGAAGTGGGGCTGGGATCATATTAGAAACCCCAAAAGGAGTAACAATTGAACATTCTCTAAACTTAGGATTCCCAACCTCAAATAATCAAGCTGAATATGAAGCTCTGATAGCTGGATTGATGCATGCTAAAGAGCACGGAGCTAGGAAAGTGCAGGTCTTCAGTGACTCGCAGTTGGTAACTTCGCAGATAGAAGGAAAGTACCAAGCTAAAGGTCTTTTGCTAATGAAGTACCTGAGTCGGGTTCAAGAAATCATGGCCGACTTCGATGAGGTGCGAGTTACTCACATCCCACGAGGGGAGAATAGCCGAGCTGACATCTTGTCAAAGTTAGCCAGCACCAAGAATCCGGGTAACCACAGAACTGTGGTTCAGCAAAGCATAGCAAGTCCGAGTTGCGTGATGGTGATAACCTTGGAAAATGACTGGAGGAAACCTCTAGTAGATTACCTGGAGAAAGGAATACTGCCAGAAGACCACCTGGAAGCCAAGAAGCTGGTCGGAGATGCGACACAATATGCAGTCGTGAATGACCAACTATTTAGAAAAGGTTTGCACAACCCTATGCTAAAATGCTTGAACTCGGACGGAGCAGAGTATGTGCTCGCTGAGATCCATGAAGGAATAAACGGCCATCACATGGGAGGCAAAGCCTTGGCCAGAAAGGCACTAAGAGCTGGTTATTACTGGCCAACAATGGGGGCAGACTCCAAAGAACACGTCAAGAAATGTGATAGCTACCAGAAGCATGCCAAGCTGATTCTTTCACCACCTGAAGAGTTGAAATGCATCTCGGCTCCATGGCCCTTCTTCAAATGGGGAATGGACCTACTAGGACCTTTCAAAGCTGCTGGAGGGCAACTTCATGCAGCTTGCAATTTGATATCAATAAATGAGGAATTTTTCTTTTCTAAGATCTATCCTTGTCTACTTTTGATGCATCAATACAAAATCTGGGATACAAATACAATTTGTCGTAATGACTCTGATCAAGTCAAACTGTCCTTATTTTGGTCATGATACCAAAAAAGGAAAGATGGCATAATTGTTTTTACCTTAAATAAATTGAGTATGAAATTCAAATTCAATTAAATGGCCAAGTCAAAGAGACAAGGTCCATTATGTATACAAGCTTACCAGAACGAGTAAGTTAAACAAACATGCATTATCGAATTGACATAAAATGGAATCCGTCTAATGCACTGACCTCGGCCAGGTCATGAATTAAAAACTCGTATGATGCACGGGTTTATAAAACTAAATTGGGATGCAGAGTTCACCCAATGAATGTTGTCAAATAATGAAAACTCGGTATATCACTCGTCAAGTGCGAGGGTAAAATATATCCATATAAATCGGATTTGAATCTAAGCAACTTAGGAGCTCCTAAGGCCTAGGGCAAATCCGGGCATGGAGAGGAACGCTATCCGGGTCACGCATATGCCACAAATGGTTAAGTCATACACTTCGACAAAACATAAAGGAGTGGGCTAATAAAAAAAGCAAAGGTAATGCTGCACTGACATGCCCAGTTCCGAAAACTCGACAACCTAGATAAATGCATCTATGGTGAATTCGGAATTAAGAAAGGCAAAGAATAAACCATAAAACAAGATATTCATGAAGTAATAAATGTATGGAAAGCAAAATTAAAACCAGAGTAAAACCGGCAATATTCAAGCGGAATCAAAAAGGGGCCCAAAGGACCCCAGCAAGTTACATAATTCAACAGGCATTCCGGCCCTTCATGATATCTCTATGGTAGGAGGATCCTCTGAAGCTGGGGCCTCCTTGCCGGATTGATTAACCACCTTGACCTCCTTCTCCGGCTTGTCAACTGCCTCCTCGCCATCGTCGAAGCCAACACCCTTCTCGGTTTGGACGTTTGACACATGGGAAGGAGAATCGACAGCAGGAGTGATGATTTGGCCATTGCTAACATAGGCGCGAGCATTCAAACCGACCAGATTTAAGGGGACTTTCGGATTGAGTATTTGGAGTTGATTCAAGGCATTATAGAAGGACCCAGTGACTGATTTCTCCAGTTCACTTTGGCAAAACTGAGCGGACCTTGTCTTCCAATCTTTCATAACTTCTCCGAAAGCCATGCATTTTTTCAATTTCTGCCGCCTTTTCATCTAGGCATTTTCCATGGTCGGCGGTAATCTGGGTCAGCTTGGTGGTAGTATCGTCATGATCCTTTTTCATAGCAGACAAATCCTCCTTCACCTTCAGCAGCTCCGCGTATGTCTTGGCTTTTTCCTCCCGAGATGCAGCAGCCTCACTTAACGTGCGCAGGTATTTCTGCTTCAGAATAAGCAAAGGCCTGGCCAACCCAGCCATCTTCAAACAGCACAGCTCCAAATCTTCCACCTCCCTTACTTGGGCCGGGGTGAGAAGAGATGAGTTGTAGAAGACCTCGGGGGCGCATACCGCATCCCGGAGAGTATTATTGATTTTGCCCTGCCATACCATATGCTTAACAAATTCAGGCACTGGAGGAGGAGGGGCTTTCATAATTTGATGGGTGCCGGTTGAAGCACGGATGTCGAAAGTCTTGGATTTTTCTTTTACAGTAGCCGCGGTGGAGGCATCAGCGGATGAAACCTTGGCTTTACTAGGACCGCCTTGAGAGGAGTCAGGTGCCTTCCTCTTCTTGGCAGACCCGGTGGAACCGGTCTTGGCCTGGTTCAAAGTGGCCAACCAGCTGGGAGGATCATTTTGTTGGTTATCCATCAGAGGTACTACAAGCGAAACAACAAGAAGTTAGTATTAAAGCAACACAGCCAATATGCAAATGCCAGGTTGCAAGAAATAATTTATACTCAATTCAGCGTCAAGCTCCTCTTTGGAATTGAATAAAAGGGATGCGACACTAGCATGCTTATGCGATAGCAGAAACGTGCCAATGACGATGGCACTATCAATATCAGATGAGCCCAACTCGGTACCTTGAAAACGGTAACTACATGGGGGAAGTTAATAATGGTCAGAAGACCAATGCAAAGGGAATTTACCCTCACCATCCTCGGCATGAGAAGTGTCAACAAACCAGACACTCTTGCCAGAATGGGCAGAAACTTTAAAGAATTTATCTTTAAAATTTTTAAAGGAATCAGTATAAACCTGAAAAAGTTTACGGTAAGGGATACCTCAAAGGGTAACCCACCCATTTCGGTTCGCTGGTTCACGACCAGTCCGAGGAGTTAGTACTTGAAAAAAGAAGAAGAATACACAGACAGAAGCTGGAATAGAAAGGTATGAGCAGAAACGCTCAAAGGCTTTGGAAAAACCCCATCCACTGGGATGAAGCTGTGTGGGAGCTATTTGAAGGTGGTTCAGAAGATTAATTTGAAAATCCGTCAAAGGGAAATGGACGCCGAGTTGAGTCACAACATCTCAAAAAAAGAAAAAGGAATGCGGTTGTCCTGGCCTCCCACTGGAGCAGACGGGTTCGTCTTTTCTAGGGGGGATTTTATCAAAATTCACTAAGTCCCCCACTGAGAGGGCGGCAACGTCATCCAAAGCCATCTCGGATACAGTACTTAAAACTTCATGTGTTACCCAAGGAAACTAGGTTATTAAAGAAGATGAGGGAGATGGAGAACATGACTCAGTAGAACTTGACTCTCCTACTACATCTGATGGAGGAGATGCCATAATACCTAGAAACAAAGAAAGGGAGGAATCAGGAAAGAATCATAGTACCTGAATCACAAACGCTATCAGAGGAATCACTAGATGCTGATGATGATGACAAATCAGCAATTGTAATAGGATCATCTACTCCTCCTACTGGGCGAATAGGTTTATCTCCATGTCGGCAAGTCGCCAACGTGGACTCGGCTAAAGAGTCACAACCTCAGTCAACAAGCTTGCCACTCAAATAAATGCAGGAGTAACGTGGGCCATTTCCCGGGATAAGAGAATACGATGAACCTCTACTGGACATCCCGAACACGCTCCGAGACTTGCCACCACGGCAAGCTCGTAGCATAGCTTCCTGCTCTTCTTCTTCGGTCCTAGGGATTTCCCAAAGCCAGAAACGAACACCAGGAGAAACGTTTTTCAAAAAACAGACAGAGAACTAAAGAAGGAGAATTTTTCCCTGGTTCGGTCAAGAAACAGAAAAAGGCTAAGTATCAAATACAAAGGGAGGGTAAGCAAGAGGACATGGCACTAATTGTAAGAACCTGCACCGTTAACTAAGGTATTTAATTAATTAATTATGCAAAAATAGGAAATGATTCCATAATTGACCCTAATAATTATTTATGAGGCTTAATAATCATAATAAGTGATTAAGAATGCTGAAAGTCGCTTTTCGGAAGAAAAGTGCAGATACCGGTCCTGCTAGTCGGTATAAATGCGTGCCGAAAAAGTATCCCGGAAAATTAAAGTAAGTTCATGATAATTACTAGAATAATATGTAGGACTTGTAAAACGAGTTTCAAGTCCAAATAATGAGAACTGGTGCTAGAAACCGGTACTGGCTTTGAAAAGCGCGTACCGAAAAGGTGCTCAGAAAATTATAAGAAAAATATGATAAATCTTAGAAAATTATGTACTTTCATAATTCAAAGTTTGGGATTAAAATGCTAAGCGTAGCAATTAAAGTTAATATTGTGAGTTAATGCTTGTGTGACCTATATATACTCTTATTATGGGCACAAAACGCTAGACTCCTTTCTTCCTTCGTGAGGGAACTGATCAGTTTGTGAGGGAGCACTGTTCCATTGCTTTCTTCTCTAGTTCTTGACCAAAACTCAACCTTGAACCCATTTTCTTGGTTGTTTCATCATCCAAAACACTTGGTGTGAGTAAGAGGCATCATTGTGGGTGAGCGAGGGTGTTCTTCAGTGGTACTCCAGCTGCTGTGTGTGAGGTTTTGAGGCTGACTTTGGTTAGTTTGTTTGTGAGAGCTTGGAGTTGGTACTTGAGCTTCAAGGTGTCATCTTTGGGGAGAAAGAACCAAACTTGTTGGTCCATTTTCGTGTCCTTGGGTGTGCTGGACTGTGGGAGCTTCTAGTGAGCTCCAAGAGCATCTCCCTTTGCTGTTTTTGAGCTGAGGTATAATCACCAACCTTTAACTTGAGTTTTAAGGCTTAAAAATGGTACCTTGATGCATCTAATGACTAAAAGATGATAACTTGTTGTTGGGTAATGTTGAACACGCCTAGAAATGCATGATTAGGTGTTAAAATCGGTAAAAATGGAACCTTTAAAGGATATCTTCACGAAAATGCAGAAACTGCATTCTGTCGTGAAATATCCAGATATTTGTCGAACAGATATCCGGATATTGGATATCCGGATATGTGGTTTTGGGATATCCGGATATGTGAATTTGTATATCCGGATATTGATATGGATAGTGAGATATCCGGATATTGCATATCCGCATATGGTCCCGAGGAATATCCGGATATTCTGGGATTTCGCAGAACAGTAGTTGTGTTGTGTGTACAGTAGGCTATTGGGGGTTTGTGGACCCTAGTTTGATGAAGTTGAACTTCTGTATTTAATGGGCTAAGCTAGAATCATGGAATTAAGGGCTTGTAGCTTTGTTAGAAGCTTTAAGACTTGAAAACGTAATGAAAAAGCGTTGTCCTTAATTTGTATGCATGTGGTACATGTTTATTGATTTATATGTGGTCCATATCAGATTGTGATCTGCTGTGATTGGACTTTGAGCTTGTGGCATTGGATAGCTAGCTTAGAGGTAAGCTTTTGTGTCCTCGGTTTAGCCATGTTGTGGTTCCACCATGTCCCATGGGGGATATGGTATATGCATGCTGTGTTACATGCTTTTGATGTATTGGAAATGCTGTTGAACTATTGTATGTTAGTGCCATGTTGATATGCATGGAGGTGTTCCACCTATACGGTAAGCCTGAGTATGTAGAACATACAAGAGGGTGAGACTGTGAGTGAGGTGCAAACGGTGTTCCTTGTACTGCATGTAAGGAATAGACGTATTCCTACATTTCTATGGCCAGTAGATAGTCATTACACACATG